TCCCAGGTGTCAGGGCGGGAAGACCGTCTGCCTCAGTGGCTTCATGGGCATGGACATCCCCCCACCTGCGGGGCCGCTCTGGATCCTGGGCGACGTCTTCATCGGCCGCTACTACACCGTGTTCGACCGCGAGGAGAACCGTGTGGGCCTGGCCGAGGCCGCCAAGCTGTAGCCACCTGCCCACCGGCAGGAGAGGAGGAGAATCGTGGGAGGAGGCAGCGCCCGCCCTCCCGCTACCCCGCCACACACACACACACACACACACACACACACACACTCGCACACTCACACTCACCTGCAGCGGCTCGGCTCTCCAGGCTGCCGTGTGGCAGGCGCTGTTTTGTGGTTTTCCCTTCCCTGGTTGCAGAAGCTGCCTGTCTGTCTGTCCGTCTGTCCGTCCGTCCGTCTGTCCGTCCGATGGAGGGCGGGGCTGGGCCAGCCAGTAGGCTCATTTGTGCTCAGAGCCCTTTCACTCACCTGAAGACCCAGCTCGGCTCCGTTGTGCATCCCAGGACCCCCTTCCTCCCCCCGTCCCGTCCCAGCCTGGGCCTCGGGGCTGGCTGCCCGGGCGGAGCATCTGGGCTGAGCCGCTGCTCTGCACCCGGCTGCCTTCCTGGTCCCCTCTCCACCCGGCCTGGGGCCCGGAGCTGGGCAGTGCCGCCCCCCACCCGTCCATTCGTCTCAGGCCCAGCGAGGAAGGGCCCCCTGAGGGCCAGCAGGAAGGAGACAAGAGCCAGCCCTGTGAGGCCTGTGGGTCTTCCTGGGGCCTGACCCCACCTGGGAGAGCATGGGCTGGCCCGGGGACGGGGAGGGGAGGGTGCCGGCCTTATACTTGTAGTATAAGTAATACTATAAGATCTTAAATCTTAGAAATGCTGTTCAGTAGTATCTCTGCTTCTACACTGCCATTATTTTTCTTACATTCTTCTAGGTCAAAGCATAGAATGTCCTGAAAATAAAGTTGTGGATCTGTTTGTGGGGCCTGCTTTGTGCTGGTGGGGTAGGTGGGACGGGACCGGGTGGGATGGGACCAGGTGGGACGCCCGGGTATGAGGAGGGGCTGGGGAAGCTGGTGTTTTGGAGGCTGACTTGGGGGTTTGGGGGGAGGGGTGGTTTGGAGGTGCTCTGCCCCTGGGATGCTGGAGGCGGGGGCCGGCTTGTGCTGAGGCCTGGAGCAGCGGCCAGCAGCGTGCGGCCTGGGCTGCAGGGCTGGTGAGCACGGGCTTCCTTGGATGGGACACGGTTTTCAGTGGCTGCCACGCTTTCCTGGACCGTGTTCCTGCCGTTGGAGGAGACCTCAGCAGCAGGGCCCCGGTGTTCCCCAGTCCCCCTGCACACCCCACTTGGGCTAGGACGGGAGCCTGCGCAGGGCTGGTGGTGAGTGGGCAGCCTGCCTCCCGTCTGGGCGTCCTTGTTGCCTGCTCCGGAAGTGGCCTCGCCCTGTGCTGGCCAAGCAGGCCCACCTGGGGTCACTGAGTCACAGGGTTCAGGACACCCACCCCTTCATGGCCTCTGTTGAGGGGTGGGAGGAGGAACATTTTCCAGGAGGTTTTGAGGGATGGATAGGAGTTTGTGAGCACCTGGTGGTGGGTAGGACTCCCTCAGGGACTCAGCCGCCCCGACAGGTGTTGGGTTTGGCACATGTGGCGTCTGTCACTGACCTGGTGACTTTCCAGCCTGCAGGGCCTTGGCTGCCATTGGCCTGGCCTCGGGTCTGGGGCCCCAGGCCAAGCCTTGGTGGGCACCTCTACAGAGTGCAACCCGCATGGCCAGGAGGCCGGCCAACACGTGCCCCGTGTTCTCTGCACCTGAAATACGAGCAGGAGCGGGCAGACAGCGCCTGGCAGGGCTGCCGGGGAGGCTGTCACCCAAGCCGTGTGCGCTGAGGCACCAAGGGCAGAGCCTCCAGGAGCGGCCGGCCTCTGCTGGCTCAGGTCACGCCCCGGCTGGCGAGGTCGCAGGCCCAGGGCTTGGACTCACCGTGCACGTGACCCTCCCAGCTGGCGTCTCCCGCCTCCAGCGGGTACCCCTGTCCAGCACGGCGGGCCCAGCCCCAGCCCTGGTCCAGGCCCTACGGTCATTCATGCTCCTGCCCAGAACCTGGCCCTGCGGCCACCCTGGGCCCAACGCCTGCCTCCCGACCCCACCCTTAGCCTCGCGTCTCTAGAAGGTGGGTAATAACAACTCCTCACTGCGGACCTGCTCTGCCCCAGCCCAGCGGGCCCATGGGCAGGGGAGGTGGTGGCCTTTCTGGCCCACACCCCTGCCTTGAGGTCCCCCCAGGTGGAGGCCAGTGGGGGCCTCAGTGAGGCAGCTTCATGGTGGTCTGCAGGAGGGGTCTGACCTGCTGGGACCTGGAGCAGACCCCTGTGGGCCAGTGCCCCTTGCCTGTTGCCTGGGACCAGGTGGGCTGTGTGCAGACCAGGCCCTGCTGGTCATCCCTGCAGCCCCTGCCCAGAGAGGGCCGGCGAGCCTGTGGCAGGCGGGGCAGTGCCTTGCTGGGGGAGCCTCGCTCAGATGCCAGGGAAGCCCGGGCCACACTCAGGCTGGGAGGGCACCTTCGGTGAAGGCTCAGCCCCCGAGAGAGAGCTGGATGCCCCACACCAGGCCTCTGGGAGGGGCAGTGGGTGTTGGGTGAACCCTCATGCCTGGGCCCTGGGCCTGGGCTCCTGGGCGAGGCCCCATGGGGCAGTGCGGGAAGCTCTCCCACACACGTGTCACCAGCGTTGAAGGCTGACTTTGTGCCCCAGGTTCCTGACAAGCCTAGAGGAGGCTGTGCCAGGGCTGGGGGGGGGCGGGGGGAGGAGGAGGACAGGGGAGGAGCTTGGAGAGGGGGTGGACCAGTGCCAGGCTGGGGAGTGGTGCATGGAGTTCCGAAGAGAAGGGGTTCAGAGGACCCGGCAGAGGCAGGCAGGACTCTGAAGCGAGAAGGGCTCCCTGAGAAGGACCCAGGCTCAGGGGAGAGAGGGTCCAAGGGGAAGGGAGTTTCATGGGGGAGACGCTCCGAGCACAGGCCAGCCTCTGGGTGACAGGGCTTGAGGGGATGAGAGGCAGACGGGCCGCCATGCTTCCGGGCGGGTGGGGCCAGGGGACGGAAAGAGGACCCAGCTCAGAGGCACCTTCGTGGTTGGGGGTTTCCCCATGATGGAGGGGATCACTGGTGCTTTTGCAGGAGTGGGGGGCAGCTGGGACAAGTGAGAGAGACAATGAGGTGGTGGGTGGATGAAGACAGGCTGTGCCCGGCAGGCACTGCTTAGGGCACGTGACCTGTGGGGACAGCACCTGCAGGGGATGGGACCCAGGTGGGCAGGACCCAAGTGGGATGGGATGCAAGCGGAATGAGACCAGGTGGGACGGGACCAGGTACGATGGGACCAGATGGAATGAGACCAGGTGGGACGGGACCAGGTGGGATGGGACCCAGGGGGAGGGGACCCAGGGGGACAGGCTGGGCTCCTGGAGAGGGGAGGGCTGGTGAGTGGACCGAGCTCCAAGGAGAAAGTGCCACTAGGTCTTGGAGAAGGACATCTGGCCCCAGGGCAGACGGACCACCTGGTGAGAGGACATGGGCTCTGAGACCGAGTTTGTGAGGGAACTGGATCAGCGAAGGTGGGTTCAGAGGCTCGGCCGGCGGAGTGCAGGGTCAGACTTGGGGAGAGGAGAGACTGGGTGGGCTCAGGGGGCTGGTGCTGTGAGGGTCGCCTCTGGTTAGGACAGGATCCTGCCCCCAGAGGGACTGCAATTGGGGGCTTGCGAGGGTCAGATTCCAGGAGGACATGGGCCTGCGACGGGCTAGTTTGGGGACAGGGGTGTGCAGAGGAGGACAGGGGCTCTTTGGGGAGACTGCTGGGAGGGGTCAGGGCGGGGTCAGGGGCTCAGCCAGAGGGA